TGACATGTCGTGGGGTTGTTAACCAATGTCATAAAACAATATGTATACTGACTGTTTAATGAGAAACTATCTGTTCTGTAAACCTTCACCTAAAGTACAATAAAAAAAATATATAATGCCCTTCTTTGACTCAAACTGTATTTTATCTGATAATAATACATCCAATCCAGTTCTCTTTGGGCTATTATTTGCGTGGACTATCTTTTTTCATCATTTTACTTTCAACCTCTTTGTGTCTTTATATATAAAGTGAGTCTCTTGTACACAGCATATAAAAACCAAACCAAACCCATCGCTGTCAAGATGATTCTGACTCATAGCAACCCTACAGGACAGAGCAGAACTGCCCCACAGGGTTTCCAAGGAGAAGCTGGTGGATTCCAACTGTGAACATTCTGGTTAGCAGTCTAACGCTTAACCACTATGCCACCAGGCTCCACACAGCATATAGATGGATCATTTTTTAAATTCATAATGCCACTCTCTGCTTTTTAATTGGAGAGGTTAATCCATTTTCTTTTAAAGTATTAACTGATAAGGAAGAACTTACTTCTGCCATTTAGCTATTTGTTTTCTGTGCTTTATGTTTCTCAATTCCTCCATCACTGCCTTCCTATTTTTAATTAGCTGATTTTTTATTTTTTTCTTTTCTTTTTTGTATATTTTTATTTTCTTAGCAGTTACCATGAAGATTACAATTAACATCTTAAACTTATAATAACCTAATTAGAATAACACCAACTTAGTTTCAATAGTACACTCTACTCCTACACATCTTCCTCCCTCTTCCTTTATAATTGTTGTTGTCACGGATTACACGTTTATACTGTGTGTCCATTATCACAGATTTATAATTACTGTTTTATGCATTTGCCTTTTAAATCAAGTAGGAAAAATGAGTTACCAACCAAAAATACAATAATACTGGCTTTTTTATTTACCTATGTAGTTACATTTACTAGTATTTTTTATTTGTTCACATGGCCTTGAGTTCCTGTCTATTCTCTTCATTTTGGCCCGAAGAAAGTCCTTTAGAATATTTGTAGGGCAGGTTTATTAGTGACACACTTATCTTTTGTTTATATGGGCATATCTTAATTTCCCCTTCATTCATGATGGTTTATTTTGCTGAATACGGAATTCTAGGCTGATTTGTTTTTCTTTCAGCACTTTAAATATGTCATCCCACTGCTCTGCTGAGAAATCAGCTGTTAATCTCATTGAAATCCCTTGTAGGTGACAAACTGCTTTTCTCTTGCTGCTTTCAAGATTCTTAGTCTTTGAATTTCAGCAATATGAGTATAATGTAGCTCTGTGTGGATCTCTGAGTTTATTTTGCTTGGATTTTGTTGAGCTTCTTGTAGATTCATGTCTTTCATCAAATTTGGGAAGATTTTGGCCATTATTTCTTCAAATAGTCTTTTTTCCCCTTACTCTTTCTCCATTTGGGACTCCCCTAACGCATATATTGGCCTGTTTATTGGTGTCCCGCAGTTATCTATGGATCTGTTTACTTTTATTCATTCTTTTTTTTTTCTGCTCCTCAAACTTAATTTCAAGTGTCCTATGTCCAAGGTCACCGATTCTTTCTTCTTCCTGCCCAAATCTGCTACTGAATCCCTCTAGTGCATTTTTTATTTCAGTTCTGTTTGGTTGTTATTTTTAATTTCTCTCTCTTTATTGATATTCTTGTTTTGTTTATACACTATCTTCCTGGTTCCCTTTATGTTTTTGTCCCTGCTTTCCTTTAGCTCTTTAAGCATATTTAAGATAGTAGATTTAAGTCTTCGTCTAGTAAGTCTAATCTCTGGGCTCCTCAGGGATTGTTTTTATCAGTTTATTTTTTCTTCTGAATGTGCCTTACTTTTCTGTTTATTTGTAGGCTTTGTGACTATTACTATTATTTGTAGAAAACTGGATTATTTGAATTTTTATAATGTGGTAACTCTGGAAATCAGATTCTGCCTCTTCCTCAGGGTTTGCTCTTCATGACTGAAGCCTTAGGTTGTGTTCAGTGTTTTGACAGAGTTCCTTGAATGCCATGAGCTTGTAAAAAAAGGACACAAACACCAGAATCATGTCTCCTAGTCTTTGCAGATTAGCTCTGTGCTGGAGTACTCTAACACTTAGCCAGGCTGTTCACAACTCAGCCATCAACACTACTCCTGAGCTGGGGAGGGGCTGGGGCAAGGCCAAGTAAAAATACACAAAGCTTTTCTACCATTTTTACATTTCTTGATTCAGCATTTGTTTGGGTGCTGTAAATCTATGACTGTTTCCAGAGTTTGAACAAAGTTGTTTCTGAAAGTTTCTCATCGTTTTTCAATGTTTCTGTGGAGGGGTGGGAATTTAGAGCTGCCTACTCCACAATTTTGCTCTATGAACCCACGCATTGCTTTAAGAACTTTATATACACTAAATATATAACCCTTACAAAGTACAGATGTATAGATGTTAAGCAAGTTGCCCAAGGTCACACAGCAAGTAAATGGCACATGTGAGATTTGAACCCTAGCAGAGTCCATGTACCTTGTTGCCATGTATCCTGCTTATCCTCGGAGGGGAGAAACGAGCTAAAAAATAGAGATTGCTTCAAAGACAATCATTTGAACACCTCTATCCAGTTTGGGCTTACAGTGTGCACCTGACCTCTTTATTTAATTAATAAATTTCTTGTTTTTTTTTTTTTTGTAAAAATCAGTTCGAATTGAGTTTATATAATGGAAATTGAAGGAGTCCTAATTGCACTCTGGAAGATTTACCATAGCATTATTTACAACAGACAGTGGGAAACAACCTAAATGCACTATGAAAGTGGATAATAAAACCCCGCTGCCATCAAGTCAATTCCAACTCATGGCAACCCCACGTGTTACAGAATAGAACTGCTTCATATGGTTTTCTTGGCTGTAATGTTTACGGAAGCAGATCAACACACTTTTCTTCTGTGGCACTGCTGAATGGGTTCAAACCACCAATCTTTAGGTTAGTAGTTGAATACCAAATGTTTGTGCCACCCAGGGACCTTACAGTTAAATAATAAAATGAGAGGAAGAGCAATAAGATGACCTATCATACAGCCATTAAAAATATATTTGAAAAATATGCTTAGAGTAAAATACTATTTTTTAAAAATAACAAAGCTCTATGTTCATTATAACAATTGTATAAATAAAAAAATGTGCAACAAAGAGTGAAATGAAATATATCAGAATATTAATTGTAATGATGTCTGGGTTAAAAAAAAAATGGCAATTTAAAAATTTTTTCCCCTGGATTTTTGTAATTTTCTACAATAGCCTTTTAGGATCAGAGGGGGAGAAAAAAAGGCAGCCTTTTAAAGATCTGAAATATTCTTACCTACTAAACTATAAAACTCCACGGTATTTTATTCAGAACTGAACGTAAGTGAAACTTAACAATCCATTCAATCACAGAATATAAACTCCATGACAGAATTTTGTTTTTTTTTTCCTTTTACTATTTTATTTGCTGCTCTATCCTCAATGGCTACATCTGTAATCTAGCACAGAAGCATTTGTTGAATGAAATGTGAACAGAAAAGTGAACAACTGCCCGTGTATTTCCACTATAGTTTATATTTCTTGCTAGATTTTCATTACGTAAGAAAATTGGGTTTTTCAAAATTTTCTAGTCAAGATCTGAGACAAGTCAACACTCAAGCTATAGTCTGATGTGATTTTTTGAGTTTTAAAAAATAATACAACTTACTGATACTGTTATTTCATCTGTGCAATAGTCAGTTGAAAGTAATAACCTCTGACTATTCCATGACTGATTTTAACTCATTGTGAATGATTCTTAGTATGCTATCTTTTTCAAAGTCTAATATATTTTATATTTTGGTTTACTGTCAAAGCACAAAATGAGACTTTGTTTAAAAATAAGTTATCATTATTTTGTTGATGGAGTGTAAATAGTCCAAATATTTTTCATATTATTTAGCAAAAGATTCATTTTTAAACTTTTAAGTGAAAATGCAGGAAAAAGGAGCAAAGTATAGAGAATAATCTTGATATGTATTTTCAATTATTATTATGCTAAAGACTGCTGATGTTTTCCATAATACCTATCCATATGCTTGGTAAGAATGTAAGTTCTGAATCAAGAAGAAAGAGATCCAGTAAACAGTGTTCTTCATATAGGTTGTCTCCAGGAGTCCCCATGCCTCACTTCTAAACTGCCTTAAGCAATTTTTACTTGCTGAATGGAAGAACCCAACTTTGAAGGGGTCTGACAGCTGAGGACTGAACCCCTTACAAATTGGCTTCAGAGAAAAGCTTAAAATTACAACTGGGGCATCAGATCTTCAGATTTAAAACAACAGAATCGCAATATTTTCAGATTATGGTATTATAATGCCATCTCTGAAAACAAATGCAAGCCCATCCCACAGAGTTTTCAAAATCTTTTATTTATAGAGGTCAACCTCTTTCCAGGAAGTAGCAAAATGAAGGAGCATTCTTAGTCATCTGACAAAAACTATCCATTATTCTTGAAATTAAAAATTGAATGCAATGATTTTTTTTTTTAATACAGTAACATTTACATGATATATTTAGAATCATGTGGTTTTCAGGGATTAGCATTTAGTCGTGCCTGAAAAGGAAGAGAAGACAGTGGCTGAGAAGCACACACCTTCATAAAAGACATCTAAAGAACATGCTTAGGATGACTAATATAAAGAATTAAACATAATACATTTTTCCTCAGAGGAAACAATTTTAGTTTCTAAACAGCATTCACTTCTGACATCTCAATTCCTGACTTCAGAGGCTGCAGACTATGTACCTCTGTACCACACTTAGGACAAGTAAAGTACATGTCAAATAAGAAACTACTCTTAATACAGTAATAACAGAAGATATGTTCACATCCTATGGTATGAGGCATGACGGGCCATTCTCCACATAAAGAACATTCTCTGCCACTGGTAGCCAAAGTATTGTCACTGTTAGGAGCACCAGTAAGAGGGATACACCATGAAGATAACCTGGCTTTCAACTTTTGGATATTAATAAGGGGTAAGAGAAAAATCAGAAACTCAGCAAAACCATGCCAGAGAAGTTCCCTATTCATATACTCAAAGCCAACTTCACGCATGTTTTGGGGCTTGCAAAATACAGAACAGATGCCTAGGAGTCGTTCTGTCAAAGTTGCAAACTTGCCTCTTTGAAGGAAAACCAAGAAATTAATCAACTCACCTAATTTCAAAAGTCCAATCACAACGTTCACACACTGCTGGATTTTCCAGAATGATGTTAAATGAGGGTTTCGAAACAAATCATAGCGCCGTTCCTCTAACCACTTCCCACCGACTGTACAAATTGCATACCACAGCTTTTGATTTTCACTGGGTGGCTGATAGCTCAGATTTGGGGAGAAGTCATTTTTGTACTGAATATTTAAAACTGATTGCCCCACGGTGGCATTTTTGGAGTAGATGGTGAATCTCCACAAGAAAACCCACAAGAATGCTTTTACCTCTGGTTCAAAGCGGGCTAACAGCCCTGGTTTAAATCCATGAAAGCACTGAGTAAACTGGGACCAAACCAGTTGCTCCAGGGCCTTGTTCAGTTCAAGTGCATCCAGCTGACTTATTCTTAGCACTCTGTTTGTACTCCTGGTGTTCTCGTCTCTGGAAGCCATATCTTCTCTGAAGGTCTCTAGGAAAATAATAGAATTAGGGAATATCACCAAACGGTTGCAATCTTGTACTATCTCCTCAGCTTATATCTGGAAAACTGTGACACACAAATTATACAGGACACACGGAAGAAGGGCCTTTCAGTAATACGAAAATAGAAGTAAAAACAATCACTTCTTACTTGGAACTTCTCTTTTTTTTTTGCCCTCCTCATCAAAGGAATAACAGGTTTTTAAAAGCCTCTAAGTAATACTAGTTGGTCAGATATTCTAGTAGAGAAATAATAAAATCTTGAAGCTAACAATGATGAAGATGAGTAATAACATGATTCATGGAGAAATATATGACTTAATAAATGCAATGAACTATATGAACAGTGTAAATAAATACAATGAACAGTGCAATGAATAGGAAGTCAAGACGTCAGTTTAATGTCAAGCACTACTACTGACTTTGGAAACCCTGGTGGCGTAGTGGTTAAGAACTACAGCCGCTAACTAAACGGTCGGCGGTTTGAATCCACCACGTGCTCCTTGGAAACTCTATGGGACAGTTCTACTCTGTCCTAGAGGGTCATTATGAGTCGGAATTGACTCGATGGCAATGGGTCTCGGTTTTCGGTTACATATTGACTTCAGAGGTACACTTTTCAACAAGTCATTTAATCTCTCTCAAATATGTATTATATCTGTAAGGGAAGTTAGAAAGAAAAACAAATGAGCAATATATGTTTATTATTTTATCATAATACTGCAAAAAATATTACTAAATCCTAGCATGAAGCAACATGAATACAGAAATGTCAATATTAAGATATTAAAAACGTATACAGTATAAGTGCTCTAAGAAAAAAAAAAGACTGTGATGTAAAAATATATACAAAGACAACTTCACAAATACACTAAGAAAGACAAATAGGTACTGAAGGGAAAAGTCTCTTTAAAATGAAATACAAAAAGCAAATTAATGATTAGGTAGGTATGACTGACTGATTAAAAAAAAAATTATTAAATGCCTACAGGGTTGCTATGAATCGGAACCAACTCAATGGCAACGGGCTTTTTTTATTATGTGCAGCTGATGTGATTAAAATACTCGGCTGTAGCCGTTGTCAAGGAGTTTACAGACCAGCTTAGATATGTAAACTATCATTAATGAACTGGTAAATTCAAATTGTGACAGAAAGCATGTTTAAATTGCATTTCTAAAACGGGGCCTCAACACGCCAAGCTTGACCATGACCTCTAGGCCTTCCAAAGGCCCTGAACGCTAATGGAAAGAACATAGAATTACAGAGGCAGTCAGGAGATTCCCCTGAAGCTCACTTGCCACCAAACGGCTGTGGGATCTTGGAGGAGTCATTTAAACCTATTGCTGCTTTGATTTCTCACTTGCAAAACAAAGGGCTGGAGACAAAATAACCTCTAAAGTCCTTTTGAATCCTATTATTTAAGATTTTTTTACACAAAAGATATTAAATGTAATTTGGCAGAAGTTAAAAGGACTGAAAGATGGATCCTGAGATAAAGCTGTACTTCTTGAAACTGTAAATATCTTGGCTAAAGATGTGTTTGTGATTTAGTAGCAGAAGATTACATGATTACCAAGCGCAAGTATATAAAACAAAACGACTATTGAATGACAGCTCATTTAGGGATGTTTTCTCTCAAACCAGGTATATGACAGAAATGCTTCTCACCCATTAATACCAACCACTTTCTGGGCGATCTCACCTTTTTCCCCTTCCTGGAGCTCCCGCAAGACTGATTATCCTACAGTTATGGCAAAGGGGATTTGCGCTGCTGTTTGAGATCCTCTGTGAAACCCTTGCGTCATACTTGCCAGGAGCTACAGGAAAGAAAGGAGTTAGAAGGAGTGAGAGTTCCATTTCCTTACTCTACAAATCTAATCAATCCCCAAGGTCTATTGATTCTTTGTCCAAAATATTTTTTTTAATCCATTTAATTCTCTCTATTCTCCCCTCCCAAGCCTTTTCCCAAATTCCAGCTGTTCACATGTCTCCCCGGGATGACATCTAACTGGTCTCTATTGTATCTTCTGTCCCCTCCAGCGCACTGCCTATTCAGCATCACCCTAAAACACAAACCTCCCCATGAGCATCTCCAGCCTGCTCTGCTTTCCAATGCTTCGACATTCTAGTGCCACCTTCTCTGGTTCGCTAGTGGACAGTCCCTTCACCTGGAAAAGTATTTTCCCATTCCTAAAAAAACTCTGCAAGTTTTTGAAGTTTTAAGTCAGAGTACCTCCTGACTCTCCAAATTTGCATTAGCTATCTCTTCTAGTTGTTCCCTTAGCCTTCTGTTCTTCCCTTTCCTGGTCTTTACACACCGTACTTAAACTGCTTTCTGATGGTCTGTTTCCTCCACTAAAGGATAAGCCTGTTGCAAGGAACACTTGAATCTTGTTAACAGTTGAATCTTAGCGACTAGTGCAGTGCCTGGTACATAGAAGGTGTTCTACAAATACTAGATACATGGGTTGACAGAGGAAGAAATGAACAGGATGAAAGTCTGGGGTAGCCGAGTGGTAGAAAATACAATACAAATTCTGGTCCATTAACCTTTAAAACTACTTAAAATGATCATATCCAGAATACTGATTATTACTCATTTCTGCATGTTTGTTGTGCATCTGCTATTTACCAGTTAATGTGTTAGGGCTAATGACATAATGGTAGAACAGACACAGTCTCAACCCTCGCGAAGCCTATCTAGTGGGGCTGGGGAGGAGGAAACAGGCAGTTATAATAACGGGTGAGAAGTGATATGCAAGGCGAAATTCAGAGTAATGTACTTACAACTAGACCTAAGAAGGTCAAAGGCTTGCAGAAGGCAGTATCTAAACAGCCAACTGAGTGATTAGCAGAGCCAGCCTGGTAAAGGAAGGTAAGACGATAATTGCAAACAGAGGGAACAGAAGGTACCAAGGACTGGAGATGCAAAGACGAGTGATAAGGCTGGAAAGGAAAGCAGGAGACAAATCCTAAAGGCCCTAAAAGCCAAGCTGAGGAGGTTGGGTTTATCATGAGGGTGATTGAAAGCCACTGAATGGCTGGAGCAAAGAACAAATAGGATCAGATTTGCGTTTTAGACAGCTAGATCTGGTCACAATGAGAACAAATTAGAGGCTGAAAGACTGGAGGTATAGAGAGGAGAAGTTGTTAAAATGATCAAGGGAAGAACCAGTGATGATCTAAATTAGAAACGTAGCAGTCAGGGTAGAGAAAAACAGCTCTGGATGCTACAAGGTGGTAGGACTGACAAGAATTGGTGAGAAAGAAGCCAAGAGTAACTGACTAGAGTAACTGGGTAGATGCTGATCCAGTTCTCTCCAAAAGAAATTACATAAGGAGACACAGATTTGAAAGGAAAGGTAATATACTCAGTTTTAGACATCTGAGGTTCCTCTGAGACATCTAAGTGGAGAAGTTCAGTAGGCAGTTATGTGAATGTGGGTGATAAAATCTGAGTAGAGATTTTAACTGTAAGTCTGAGGTCCCTCAAGCAGTACTAATCTATTTTAAATCTCACTGTTCTACTTAAATGCTACAGTCAATAAGGCAGTAATCTAAACAAGATGGGTAGATCTTGTACATTTACAATATATTCAACTTTCTTTGAGAACAACAGAATCTTAATCTTATGGTTTTCATACCAGCTACTATTGACATTTCATTGCTCAAGTTCACAGATACTACCGCATCTTTGGGCTTTCAGTCTTTCTTTGCTTTGGTCTTCAGTATCACAGTAGTACAGTTTCACTGTTCTAGTCCAGCGGTTTTCAAACTTGAGTGTTTATCAGAATCACCTGGCGGACTTGTTAGAACAGATTGCTAGGCTTCACCCCCAGAGTGTATGATTCAGTAGGTCTGGAGTACGGGCCGAGAATTTGTATTCCTAATAAATTCCCTGATGATGTTAATGATGCTGGGGGATCACCCTTTATGAACAACTGAGCTAGTCTATTTCACAGCAAAAATCATAATATATATTTTTGTATATTGGTACCACCAGTACCAATGCTGCATGGCATTTCTCTACGCATTTCTGGCTAGTTCTCATCCCTCTGTCTACAGAAGTGGCTACAAATCTTTCACTCACTCAGGCTTTCCCTTTCTTCTATCAAGCAATCCTTATAGGAGTAGAGACCATTCATTGATTCCACAAACTTTTATGGGCATCAATACATCCTCGCTCTGCTAGGTGCTTGTGATGCAGCAGAGATAAAGATAACTCTCGGCTCTCACTTAAGGAACCAAACCAAGGTCTAGCAAGGGAGGCAGGCACACAAATGGACAATGAGGGTAACAACAGAGGTACATGATATTGCAAGTTCTCAATAAAATTTCAAAGCTACCGCCAACAGAAAAAGGGGTAAAAATATTACAGAGTTCACACAAAAATAATGAATGATAAGATTTTTATTTTTCTCATTTTTCTGCAGTTCACAAATTGTACTTGGTTTGCATCATTTATATAATTAAGAAAAACCCTAAAATATTATTTTAAAAACTTTATAAGCCAACCAAAATCTACAAAATTATCTGTCCACACTTACCCAGTCATCACTTTGTTACCTCATTATTATCCCTGGCATAAAGTACAAACTTCTCAGTCCTAAAAGAGCTCAATCCCGTGTCCATCTCTGCAACTGTCTTCCCCCATGGAGCCCTTAATTCCAGATCATTTTTTGGTCCTGCCTCTGTGCTTTTTCTCATGTACCTAAAACTCACCTTCCCCGACAGCTATTCTTTCCCACTTCCCCAAATTATCTGCCCTTTACATTTCAAATTCAACATTCTCCATGAAACCTGTGTAACTATCCTCAGTTTCAATTAATTATTACCATTTCTGAACTGACACCAAACGTCTGTCCACTCACTTGAGCCCGCACAGATTTGTACTGTGATTTCACAGTCAAACGAACACATCTTCTTTCCCTAACCTGACTGGAAGCTACTTAAAGGGAAAGCACCCTATCTTATACTCACTTTCAAAGCACCTGCCACCTACAAACTGACTTTGATACCTAGCTGTTTTCCTCAAGCAAAATCCTACATTCAGGGTGTACGGGAACATAGTATATGCGACTTTTCTACTTTATCAGTGCCTACAACTCTGTATCTTCCCCAGATTTCATGTTTTGTGGTCAGCAAGATAAGAGAAACACTCTTCAATTGTCAAATCATCCTTGAATAGCTTGTAAGAGGGACTGACAATACTGGATACTAGAATATAAGTCAACACTTCAGTCACCACACCCCTGTATTTGACTCGATAGATTTCTATTTTTTCAATTAAGCACCAGATGAAATTGAAATATTTGGCTTGCTTCAGAGGGCCAGTTGTGCCAATTTATATTGGTTAAGGGCTCAACTAAAACCCCGTGGCTGTCGAGTCGATTCCAACTCACAGCAACCCTACAGGACAAAGTAGAACGGCCCCATAGAGTTTCAAGGAGCATTTGGTGGATTCAAACCGCTGACCTTTTGGTTAGCAGCTGTAGCTCTTAACCACTAAGCCACCAGAGCTCAACTACTAGTCCAAAAGCTGGCGGTTTGAACCCACCCAGAGGCACATAAGACAGGCCTGGCGATCTGCTTCTTAAAAGTCACCACCTTGAAAACGCTATGGAGCAGTTCTACTCTGTACACGCGGTTGCCAGGAGTCAGAATCGACCTCCGACAACTAACAACAACAAACACTAGAGTCACCGTCCCTTCCAGAACAGCAGGCTGATGAATGGCTTATTAATCCTGTGACTCTGGAATTTACCACAAAGATGAACTCATAGTAGCTGCTCAATGTTTGTTGGAAAAAGACCATTGCTGTCAGGTCCTTTTTGACTCATAGCAACCCTACAGCACAGAGCAGAACTGCCACATATGGTTTCCAAAACTGTACATTTTTACAGGAGCAGACTGCCATATCTTTCTCCTGCAGAGCAGCTGGGAGGTTTGAACTGTCAACCTTTCAGTTCAGTTGGCAGCCAAATGCTTAACCAGTGTGCCACCAGGGCTCCTCAATGTTGTTTGTTGAATTTAACACACAAAGGAATGAGAAGTTTGGTAGCCAATAAACATGCTGACTGAATACTGTGTGAGAACATCCAGATGAGCTGGACGATGACGACAGGTGCCTCTTCTTTAGGTTGCTTACTGATACTTGGCGAGGAACTGGTGGTCAAGAGCTCAGCTACTAACCAAAAGGTTGGCAGTTCGAATCTACCAGTCACTCCTTGGAAACCCCAAGGGGCAGTTCTACTCTGTCCTATAGGGTTGCTATGAGTCAGAATTGACTCGATGGCAATGGTTCTTTTTTTTTTTTTTTTTTTGGTCAGAGGTAGTGGTTTCTCAGAGTAATCATGTATTTCAAATCCCAGGTTTCTGGTAAAATCATACTTAAGAACATTTAGCTAAGAGAGGAATTTTTAATGGCTGCCAGAAAAGAAGACTTAACACAGTCTCTAACCAATCCAGTATTTAACAATCCTTATTATCAAAAAATTCTTTCTTATCCCTTCTGTTACAGTTTAACATTTTTTTCTTTCCTCTTTTTCTCCCCCGGCCTGGCCTCAGTGTAGATTAAGAACAGCTGGATGCTCTCTTCCCTACATAAGACCAAAAGACTATTAAACTGTTCTTCAGCCCTTGCTTCCCCAGATGAACAATTTGCTTCTCTCTCTGTCTTTTTTAGGTTTTATTTTTCCAACACGTTAATTGTCTTTGTGGAAACACAGGACAGACGCTGTCCGTTATACACCATAGTTTATTAAAATGGAAGACCTCTCCTGTGCAGTCCATTCCGATCTAGGCACCTGTGGTGGAG